CTCTCCTGTCGGATCCGAGAGTCTATTATACGCTCGAAGAGCTTCATGGTGTGGGACATGACCTTTATGCTCCGATAATCGCCACACTCCTGCACCGATCCCTTCCTTTTGAAGACTGGAGTGATAATACTCAGTCTCCATTGGTTAGGGATTTTACCGGTGAGGAGCACGCGATTAAAGAGGCCGGTAAGGATGCCCACACCACGGGGACCCATTGCCTTCCAGGCCTCGATGGGAACCCCATCGGCTCCGACAGCTTTCCGATTCTTCATGCGACGAAGAGCTAAGTGGACTTCCTCAGGCGCTACCGGTCGCACTAGTCCCTGATTCGGAGGGAGGACCGGTGGCTGCACCTCTCTGTGCTTCAGCAGCTCGTGGAAATATGAGCGCCATCTCTTCTTCACCGCGTCGACCTCGCATATAAGGTTGCCATGAGGGTCTTTAATGCAGCGACACTTGGAAATATCTTGTGCCGCTAAGACCCTCGAACGTGCCAGCTTAAAGATAAGCTTCTGCCCCTCAGACGATTCCAACTTGTCGTACAACGGCTGCAAGTGGTCCCGTCTGGCTCTGACTACAGCTTTCTTAGCGGCACGTTTAGCATCCCTATATGCATCGCGGTCTTCAGAAGATACGGACGCTTGCCACGTTTTGAAGAGGGCTTTCTTCACCCTCACCTCCCTTTGGACTGTGTCGTTCCACCACCAAGTTTCTTTGTCACATTTGCGACCACCCTTGGACAAGCCCAGCACCGCTTTCGCCGCCTCAGAGAGGCCGTGGTCATCATGTCACCCGATTTTCACACGTCATGTCACACGTTGGATGACTTGTCGACTAAAATCACCAATCACGGCGAATAAGTTGATATGATGTTCGCCAATAAATGTTGCTCAATGCTTTTCCTTTCCATAATAGAAGACGTTAATGGCTTTCTTAAAAACATGCTCAAAATGTGCAACGATCATGTAGATTTACAAGAATCACGTGATTAGTATCACGAATAAAATAGTAATAAAAAATAGTTCACACGGAATGTTATTAAGGCAACTCTTATTTATATAATGTTACATATTTATTTTATTTTACAATTTTGTACTTAGACCACAGACCACATAAATACTTCTTCCGTGACTTAGACATTCATTCAGATATGATCCATAGTACACTAGGAAAAAAATAAATAATATAAATTATTATTATACGTAACACACTAAACATACTATGTTGAGTGTGTGCGTTATTATATTCATATCTGCAAAATAAATAAATCATAACTATCAAGAATGTTTGGGTTGAACATGTACTTGTGTAAATTTATACCTGAAAATATTGAAAATTTGTACTCCTGATTGAAAATTTCCTTGTTGATTATATAAAAAATACATTATTATTTGCAATCCTATTTTCTACTCTCTAGCCTTTTAATAAAATTTGTAGACGTATTAATAAATGTATAATAAAACCAATAGCAACAGTAATAGTGTAACAAAAAAAAACTTATTTAACTTTAACTTATTTCAAAAGGGATAATTAGTCAGCCCTTTCAACGTTGTACCAGGTACACATCTGTGATCGATATTGTAACCATCCACTATGGACATTTCCTTCTCGGTCAATTGAAAATCGAATATGTTTATGTTCTCTTCGATTCGAGATTTGGTGAACGACTTCGGCAGCACTGCTATGTCACGTTGAACCTGGAAATGAAGGATTTTAATGTTAATGAGGAAGAACTCGAGGTAGAACTCCTTGTGAAAGAATTCATCCAGGAAGTACTGCCACTCTAAGGGCTTTAAAAATTAGACGTTTAAAGAAGCGCTATAGCGCCACTGTGGCGCTGCAAGCGCGCCACTGCAATTTAATAGTGTCAAATCTCATGCAATATTTAGAAACGCAGTTGTGACCATTGTCGTGACACGTGCGCGCTACGTTTACAGTCACAATCAGCGCCGAGTTTTAACCCGGCGCTTTGTTAACGCCGGGTTTAAATCGGGTTACAAGCCATTATTGCCCGAAGTCGTGGGCAAAAACTATTTACAACTATTTAAATATTTGTTATAAATCGAGTTTCTAACCGACTTCAAAAAAAGGAGGAGGTTCTCAATTCGACTGGATTTTTTCTTTTCTTTAATGGTATTATTACAACATGTTTATTGTTTTCTGATATAGACGATTCGATTTGACCAATTATTGAATCGATTCGCTGGAAAATCGCATTGAAATAAATTCATACAAAAAAACGTTAGATTGTATGCACTTGAATAGATATTTAAATGTCAGCCGTGGTAGCGTAATGGTTTGACCTACTGCCTCTCAAGCAGAGGGTCGTGGCTTCGAATCCTCAGCTCGCACCACTGAATTTCTCGGAATTTTAGTGCGAAATTTAAATTGACATTTACCACGAGCTTTTCGGTTAAGGAAATCATCGTGATAAAACCTGTACGTCGAAGAAGGTTCGCGCGGCTACCGCGCTTCTACATGCGTCTATTTTGAAGGTGCCCTAAGTGAACATTACTGCGATCCGGATTTGAAAGGTGCTGGAGAAACTACTAGGGACTTGTCAATTGTCTCACAGAGTGACGGATGCATTGGCACCGCCTTTTTCAAGACCTTTTGCGATATAAAGCAGAGGCACTGCAACTAGTTAATTCCGTCGCGTGATACGTATTAAATTTATACTTTTACGGTTAGTGCAGGTCGTATGTGGAATAAATTGTCTGCTAGCATTCGTAACAGTCTATCGGTTGCACCATTCAAACGCAAGTTAAAAGAGCACTTCCTGTTAAACTCGGAAGTTAATCAGTATCATAAATATAAAGTAATAACAATTTGAACTTCGGCAGATACACTGAATCCATGGCCCAAAATGCAGCCAGGAAGCTTGGCATCCCTTCCAAGGTCAGGCGTTACTTCACACCGGGACAGCCCCATATCTTTCTACATTAGTTTTGATTATAACGACCCTCCCTACCGACCCTGAGGGTATACGATAAGGGCACTATAACCCGTGCGCGCACAAAAGTTCTCACCCCACATCAGCTAGTATACAGGGTTGTCACAGACCTCTTGTCACTTGACTCCATCCGGTTCTTCGAGAGGCTAGTGCACCTACAGTACTCTCGCTATTTTCCAGATAGGTACCGGAGCTGTAGGCACGCTCACTTCCCGATGCGCATTGCACAACTAGCGGTTGCCACCGCTAAGCCGTCGACTCTGAGGGTCGTATTCTAGAACTCTACTCAATGCTCAAGTCAGGATTTGAGTATGGTTTAAAGCACTCGAAATCATACTCAAGTCCCTTCCATTAGGGTCGTATTTCCAGTGCTTGTGTTTCCATTGCAATCCTGACTTGAGCATTGAGTAGAGTTCTAGAATACGACCCTGAGACCGGGACAGTTGCTTCAGCTGTACTTTGGTACAAGTACAAGTCCGGTCGTGAATGGAGTACTGCTGCCACTTAAGGGATGTCTCTGCTAAATATCAACTGGCCACCTTGGACTCAATAGACAAGTGTGCTAAGATGCTTATAGGAGACTCGGAATTAGTAGCGACGAAGCTGCAGAGCCTTGAACACCACCGTAGAGTTGCCTGCTTATCGGTATTCTACAGGATATATCACGGAGATGGAATTGCATAATATGATTCCGCTTTCCCCTTTCCATCGTCGGGGGACTAGACGTGGGCTGGGATTCCACCCTTATGTTGTGGATATTCCTATGGATTCGCACGAAGCGTTTCGCTTCCACATTTATATGGCGAACGGCAAGAGCGTGGAATTCCCTACCTGCAGACTTATTCCCCGAACGCTATAACTTGGACCTTTTCAAGGTGAGAGTGAATAGGCATTATTTAGGTGTGCATGCTACATCGTCGATCTCACAGACATATATCTAGATAGACGCTTTCAGACGTCGAAACCGCTAGATTGGTTTACTTCAGCTACTTTCACAGTCTAATGACATACGGCATTTTGCTTTGGGGTAATGCCGCCGATATCAATAGAATCTTTGTCCTGCAGAAACATGCAGTTAGGGCAATTTACAATCTGGGCCCCAAAGTATGTTTGAGAGATAAGTTTAAGGAAATTAACATTCTTACACTAGCCTCACAATACATTTATGAAAATATAATTTATGTTAAAAGGAATAGTAATTTCTTTATGAAAAATAGTGACAGACATAACATTAATACGAGGAATAAAAATAAACTAGCTTTTCTTGATAGTCGTCTTCACAAAGTCAAACAATCATTTAAGGGGCAATGTATACGCTTCTATAACAAGATTCCGGTTGATATACAAAATTTGCCTTTCACGAGGTTTAAAACTATAGTGAAACAAAAACTTTATACTAAAGGTTATTATACAACTTCTGCGTACTTGGATGACAAAAATCCGTGGTAGTAACCCGTTTAGCTCATGGAGGTAGTCTCAATCTGATGTTTCAAATAAAAAAATATTGTAAATGTTATTTACAAAGAGCAACCCCTAGAGTTTCTTGCTCATTCTTCTCAGGGGAATCTGCCTTACGAATGAGCGGTAGAGTTTAACCATTGTGACGATTTCAAGTGTAATAATGCTTACCTATGAAATAAAGATTATTTTGATTTTGATTTTGATTTTTGACGCCGCAAGTGTACGTACTTCGCGTGCCCAAAGTAAGTGAAATTCAATTACTTGCCGCTGCTACACTTCAGAACGCGCTCGACCGTTATCGTAGATAAACACCAGTCGAAAACGCGAAAAATGCATAATTCTGCCATTACAAACTGAAAAAGCACCATAACTGTGGGTAAACGGTTACACAGGGACGTTTCCTTCCACGGGCAAGTGATTTTGTAATCAGAAGATGCATAATTTATATTAAAAACAATTATTTTGGTTTTGTACGAATTTCGAGAAAACAAATATGCAACTCAGTGTATGCCTCATGATTTGTAACACATTGCGGCTTTTACTTTATGAGATATATTTGTGATCCTTTGTTAATACGCTATGAACATCGAACGAACTTACTTTTGCAGAATGCATTCAGTTTCTGTGGTACGGCCGCTTGTACATTTTTTTGGCCAAATTTAACATTTAGTGATGTATACGTTAGGCAACACTGTTCTCGATTCTGATCGATTTTGAAAACAACGGGACGAAAATTATTATGACCTTAGCAATATTATAAAAGTATTCTATAACTCTTTTGTTATAACGTTTAGTAACGTTTCGTTTTTTTTTTTCAGTTTTGTAGTATCTATTATCAGTAGTATCTGTAATTTCGATAATTTTTGCAGCACGTTACCTTGAATGTCCGAATATAGTGAGCGCAAATAATTACTTATTAATTATTACTATTATTTAATTATTACGAGTAATACAAAAAAATATAATGCAAAGAATTAACAGTGCGCTGTCTTTACAAAAACCTGGAGTTGGTCATATGTATGAGTTCGTTGCTTTCGAGGACGAAGCTGGTCTAGTTTATCCCACCAAAGATGCTATCCAAATATGCAGAGCAGCAGAGTTAGAAATCCGAGAAATCATGATCAAATCACAAAAACTTTACACGAGGCCGACATTAAGTAAACCTTAAGTTACTTTAGTAAGATTTTAGATATTTTGTCAGCAGTAACATTTTCAGTTGTCTTGCCATTCACCAATTTGATCAATCAGAAAACCATCTAGTAAATTTACTTAAGGCAGTTGCAAATTCATATATTGACGTGCGTTTTCATTATTTAAGTAAATAGATAAGATCTTCTATTACAAAAATACAGTTACATAATAAGCTTATATTATTTCAAGGACAATAATTTTAATATTTGAAGTTGATTAAAAATTATAGTTTCACTCCAACATTAAATTAATTCAAAAGGTTCTTACCAAGTACTTTAAAGCAATTTGTGCCCTCGTCTTCCCGTACTTCTCAGCCAACTGCCCGAGCGCAGGATCGGTCTTTATTACATCTTTACCCGCAAACTCTGGCCTTGCCTCGGATATGAGACCGAGTGGCGTGTAAGCCACAGGTTGAACGGAGAGAGACTTGCAGAGGTCCACAAATTTATGTTGTGTGAGTGTAGGGTTTATCTGGAATTAATAGATCTATTTAATTTTCTTTTTTAACAACGCACACTCTCTTAGTCCCGCATTAGGGAAACACTGTATCGTGAGTGCCATGGACACACACATAGTTTGACAACCACAAATTACACCTAAACTCACGACAGAAATATATGTAGGCCATATAAATATTTATCCCGCGGCCCGTGTAACTGTTCGGCTACGGAGGCAGTTATTATAACAAACTAGTAGAGTAATTTCACAAAAAATAATTGAATCATCAATTTAATACATATTATAACAAACTAGTAGAGTAATTTCACAAAAAATAATTGAATCATCAATTTAATACAAATTTAAAATACTTCGTGTGATTATTATTTTAATAAATTTAACAATTTAAAAGTGACGGTATTGCTAGGTGTACGGCGTACCTACCTCAAATTGGTTAACAACCGGTTTAACAGTAGCCTTCTTCACGACTCTCGTCAACTGCTCCTCGTTGAAATTAGAGACGCCTATGGACTTCGTCAGCCCAAGTTTCAAAGCTTCCTCCATGCCGCGCCAGGTTTCCATGTGGTCTATCTTCATGTCCTCACCGGATGGCTTAAAAATTTCAAGAGAAAGGGGAAAAATTTGAAAATAGCTTAAAACTAACCAACGCCATCTATTGGCGTAGTGTCCAACTGAAAGGGCCCATTCATTATCCTGCACTGCAGCCTTCCAGGCCGTCCGCCACGCGATGCAGGACTGTGAATGCAGTTGCAGCATGCAATTTGCACGCTGCATCTACATCTGCATCTACATTCACAGTATATATTTGATATTTTAATTAGCAAAAATACGTTATTTTTTCGAAATTCTTTATAGTTCTGTGTACAGAACTTTAATAAAATTTTTCAGATCAGTAGCGAGTAGATACCTACCATAGACAATGGAATTTTGATTCAGAACTAAAAAAAGCGACTTTGTGATATGGTTTACGAATACAGGAGTAGAAAAAAATATTTCCAGAACTTTGGCGAATATGCGTGTCTACGTGTGTTACAAATTAATTTATAAATTAACGATTGTTACTATGGGTAGATGGCGGTAATCCTAAACAAAATAAAACAATAGCCGGTACTATCGACAAAAATTAGTGCAATAAGCGCCATCTAGATGATTTGTTTGTTATCACGAGTAGTAATTATTAATACAGAGATCGAAAACTCAGAAAAAATTCCTTCGATCCGGCCGGATTCGAACCGAGACTTCTTCTAGCATACCGTGGCAGACGCTATACTAAGCAAAGAATGAACTTGCGGACCTCACGAATTTTTCTATGTACTAGAGTCGTATCTTTGTATTTGCTTTTTCAACGACTTTTTAGGCGTAGAACCATCTATGAGAAATCTATGATATTTCGTCACCCAGTTAGACACCTTTACAGCTACCAGCCCCGGCTAGAGATTATTCACTGTATTTAAATATTCATTGAATTGATATTCAATTATTTTTATGTGAAATCACTCCACTAGTTTGTTATAATTATTAATACAAAGATCGAACACTCAGAAAAAATTCCATCGATCCGGCCGGATTAGAACCGACGTCTTCTAGCATACCGTGCCAGACGCTATACCAACTAAGCAGTAATTTCACATAAAAATAATTGATTATCAATTCAATAAAAATTTAATTACAAGTAGCTTTCTTAAATTACAGTTCGCCAATGTAAAACCAATTAGTTGCAAAAATAGCTATTTGGTCTAGTCGCGACATCTGGTGTGCTAATAGGTACTAAATACCTGACTACGCTTTCTTGAATCGCAATTAGCAGTCTTGAGCAGCATGATTTATTATTCCATGACAGTATTGAGTTTTAACCCACTTTGCCAAAGGAATACACAGTATATAATATTAGGTAAACTCAAGTCTATCGAGAAAAGGGATTTGTTTGACTTTATCAAAACAATTGGCTTAACATAATAAAGTTAGTTAAATCAACTTACAGTTGCGGAGACAGGCCAGTGCACTAGATAGAGGTCAACATAGTCCATCTTCAGTCTTGCTAAAGACTCCTTTAATGCAGGGACCACTTCTTTTTCTTCATGACGGTCATTCCATACCTAAAAAGCATAAGCCGTGGAGGTAGTTTATACAAACAGTAATACAACACAGTAAAATACAAATCGTCTGCTTAAAGGCAAAACCACATAAGTGACATTTTCCACAAAAAATCTCCAAATTATGTACCAGTTGTAAGAAATTCACCGTCTTTCTGCAGATAAAACTCTTATTAAGTTTATAGCTTTTTGTTATTGAGTTTCACGTGTAGAAAGATAGTGATTTTCTTACCATAGCTATATGTATAAATTAAAGACATTTTGTGGAAAATGTCACTTATGTGGTTTTTGCTTTAAATAGACGAAATATTCCATATTGCACACTGGGACAAAAACATCATAATAGGAAAAATAGCAATCTCTTCAAGGCAACCTTCGGATAACAGGAAAACCTATAAAAGAATAATTAATTGTCTTATAGGGCGCAACAGAATAAGTATTTAACACAAACATTGCACTTACACAAATGAAAACAAAAATAAATAAATAAATAAATAAAATTTGTTGATAGGACAATGAAAAATTTACTTAAAAAAATTTAAATAGTAAATAAATAAAGAAATGGTTTTATCAGTTTTTTACTCATTGACCACCGCATCAGACATACAATACGAATGAGCCGCTGTGGTTAGCAGTTACAAAATACCGGTCAAAAGCATATCATTATTTCGTAGACGATACGTAATATTTCAACTTTTTTAAAGAGCTGTCCACTGTTACAGAGCTGAACAGTTTATGTAGATGGAAAAAAAACATTTCTGTGAGATTTCTGCGTTGAGAGGTAAAGAACCGTAAGTGCCAAATAGTAATTTTTACTACAGAGCGTTTCAAAAGTGAAGCTCTTAATTAGGCCAAAACCCTATAATAATAGGGGTTAAAGTATGAAATTGCCGATTTGTACTGAAAA